CCCCCAAAACCCGTCCCATCCCGTATATATAGTGGGACGGGATGAGACTTATTTTTGTCCCCCCAATCCCGGTCCCGGCAAAATCCCCCCAGCCCCGTCCCCCTTCGTCCCGTCCCCCAGTCCCCATCCCCGTCCCCTTGCCAGCCCTAAATTTTACCTATACAGTCTACTGGTACATGTTCAACAACCAAGTATATAGTGTAATTTATTTCTACCAACCGCAACCAAATATACCGTCAACGATGAATAATGTTTATCGTCCAACGAACCCCTTGTCATTGAAAATTGAAATAATATAATACAACATTAATAATTCTTATTGAACAATCTTCCTGTTTGAATTTACAAAAGAGAAAAAAAGATTTTTAAAACATTGATCCAGAATGATGGTTCAAATATTATTAGAATGTGGAATGGTGTAGTATTTATTAATGAACCCTAAAAGTTGAAATTTTTTGCTTATCCCCCACGAATATATTAAGGAAACAATACAAATATCACTAATTTATGAGGTATTTCTCCGTTTATTTTTACTTGCCATTTATTTTAAAATAAATTTTTCATTTTTACTGATCACTTTTGACATATTAAAGAAAGATAACAATTTTTTTCCATTGTTTCCCTCATTATTAAATATTTATTTTTCAAATCATTTTCGAAGACATCAATTAGATAGTTTGATAAAAATACATATATCATTAATTATTTTCTTAATTGGTTGTCAAGTCAAATCGTAACAAGTAAAAGTGAACGGAGAGAGAGAGTAATTAATTATAATAATATAATTTCTATTATATTTTCTTGTCCCCAGATATATCTAATTATTTGTATATAAATATGGAATATAACTGAAACAAAATTTAGAAGCAAATCATGCGATTTTTCCTGTATTTTTAATCACTTCTAAAAAATATTTAAAAATCATGAATTTTTTTCGAGCATCATAAATCTTTTCTCAGACATACATGTAATTTTAATTTAGATATGTGTACACTTTATTAGATACATGAACTTTTAATTAGATGTATCCGTATATTTTGACTAGTATCTCTCCTTCTCTCCCCTTTGTCTCTACAATAAAAGTGTGAATTACATGGGGATTTTCTGGGGATTAGTATGAAAATTTGCAGAAAAATTAATTTCCTACAGATTTTCATACTAATCCCGAGAAAATTTTTCATGTAATTCACACTTTTTTGATAGTTCCGATGAGAAATTGTCATCACTGACCAAACGACCAATTATATATAAAGTGAAGTTATTTCTCATCTACCAATTGCAATTGATATTAAAGTTTTTCCTTTCAAAATCTAGGACCACTTGAAAATAAAATTTAAAACTCATTTTCTAATCGGCCTAAAAAGTGAACAATCATGATGTGCCAGTGATGAAAGACGTCGGGCATTAGGTTTGGTTGGCAAATTAATCTTCTTTTTTAATTTTATTCTTTTTCATCTTTTTTAAGAGCTTTCACTCTTTCATTTATCTCTTATTGGTAGATTGGCAAATTAATTGTTTTTTGTGTTCTTATTTAAATAAATGTGGAAGCGCAATTAATTATTGTAGTGTTGAAATTATATAGTTTTTCTTTTTCTTATTGAGAGTAAGTCCTTTTTTTTTTTTTTTTAGGAATGGCAATAGGGCGGGTGAGGGCGGAGCAAACCTTGACCTATCAAGATTTTGACCTGCCCTACCCTGCCCCGTTTAACATTATTCAAAAATTTGCCCTGCCCTAACCCACCCCGCTAAGACTTGCCTTGCCCCATTTATGTTATTTTCCATTTTTCTTATTTATTTTTTACTTTGAAGAATGAATTTTCGTTTAACTTCTTTTGATAAACTTTTTAAGTTTTAACACTAATACTGTAATTGTTTTACAGATATCGGCTAAGAATATTATTTTTCACCAAAAACTTTATTTGCTGGTCATGATTAATTATAGTATATCAAAATAGATTCATAATTCAAAACATCCCAAACAGTTTCATAGCGTAGTGACTTTGACACTTGCTGCATTGGAATATATTTTAAAAGCTATACTTTTGGCTTGCCAAATTTCAGAAATACCTCTACTCTTTTTGTATTCGCGAGAAAACAACAAAACAACCTGTTACCCGCCCTGTCCCGTTATGTATTTTAAATAAATAATCTTTACCTGCCCCGTCCTATATAGTTATTTCCCAGCTCTGCCCTATTAAGGGTGTGCCTGCCCCGCCCTTCCCTGCCCTACCCCAACTGCCATCCCTAAGATTTTTTTGTTGACTCAACTCAATTTTAAAATTGAAGATGAATAATGTTTTTCATCTAGTAAATCCCTCTCATTGTTAAAAATTAAAGAGAAAATGGTCTGATATATTTTTTCAACTTTGTTAGTTAGAGATGAAATATAACTTCTTATAAAAGTGGCTCACACATATACCTTCATCGTTACAAAAGTCGCTCACATGTACTCTTAACTGTAACAAAAGTAGCTCATTTATATCTCTACCGTTACAAAAGTGGCACATATATATCCTTTTCATCTAACAAATGTGAAAAAAATCATTATTATTATTTTTTAAATCATGTATATGATCCTTTAAGCAAAGTTCAGGAGTATATCTGATCTTTTTCACACGTAAAAAATAATTTTTGACTTTTTTGATTGTCATTATTTGAGTTTTTTATTCTTATTTTATTTTTTCTTTCTTTCATTCTTTAGTGTAAAAATAAGAGAAATAAAAAGAAAGAAGTGTCAATGGAAAAAGAGGACAAGTAAGAAAAAATTTAAAACTAATTTGTTTTCCGGATATATTGTAATTTAAAACAAACTTTTTATGACTATATTGTAATTTTGTTTTTGTAAATTTTTTTGGGGGCATCTATAATAATTTTACAAGAAAATTAGTGATTTTTTTTTAATTTGACCATAAAAATAATAAATCAAAATTAGTTGTCAAATAAAAAAAGTTTAAAATAATAATAATAATAATACGAGTGAAAAGGATAAAAAAAATACCCATACATGAATTATTTTTTTATTAAAAAATTGTCGGATGTATGTTGTTGTAAGGTCTCTCTACCTCTACGAGGTAGTGGTTTGCATACACTCTACCCTTGCTAGACTCCACTTAGTATGTTGTGGTTGTGAGTGGATGATTGACAACGGTGATACTTGGCTGAAATAATGGTTGTGGGTGGTTGGTGAAAATAGATAGAGTAGCGGTGACTGTCATTTTTGTAATATTTTAATAGATACAGAATTCTACGGGCTTAATATAGGTTTTTTTTTAATGGGAAATAGATAAAATTTAAAAAGTCAATTAAATTTTTATATGTTTTTAAATATATTTTATGTTAATTATTGTGATTCATAGAATTTTTAACTTTATTTTTAATTAATGTATGTCACTTCTTTCGTTCCAATTTATATGACACAATAAAATTTGGAAAGTCTACCTAAATTTTTATATTATTTTTAAATATTTTGAATTGTTAACTATGATTATTTATGTAATACTTTACATCCATTTTTAAATAATTGTGCTACTTAATCTGTCTTAATATGTGACATTGACAGAATTTGAATAGTCAAACAAGTATTAATTATTGTGATATATAGTACTATTTTTTAATGTAATTTTTAAATATTTGAAATTATTAAATTATTGTGATATGCAATACTATATTTTATATAAATTTTAAATATATAATCAACTAAAATGAAAAATGAGATAAATACATTAAAATAAAGAAAATACAAAATAGTACTATATTAGTCGCTATCAATTACTCCATTCGTTTAAAAAAGAATGATCTTTTTTTCTTTTTAGTCTGTTTAAAAAGAAACGACCTTTATTTTTTTTGTAACATTTAAATTTCAGCTTTCCACGTGACATGTTTAAGGCCACAAAATTCAAAAGTCTTCTTTATTTTCTTAAACTCCGAGCTAAGTCAAACCAAACCGGGAGTAAAATCGAATTGTTCCCTCATAGTTTTGGTATAAATATGAAACCAATTGATTCACCTTCTTCTATAACAAAATGAAAAAGATACTTTTAGCTCTACTGGTTTTGTTCCTCATTAAGGTGGTGTTAGCCAATGAGGATGAGCAATCTCTTCCCTTTCAACTCCCAATCTTTGGCCTTGAAGGTATTAATGCATCAAGCGGCGAGTACTCAAACCAGGGACAATGTGGAAAGCAAGGTCATCACATACAATGTCTTGATGGAATGTGTTGTAGTTTGCAGGGTTATTGTGGAAACACACCATCTTATTGTGCTCCTGGATATTGTCAGAGTCAATGTCCAGACCCGTTCCCACCGGGAAGGTGCGGATGGCAAGCTGATAATACATCATGTTCTACCGGAAAGTGTTGTAAGAATGATGGTTGGTGTGGGAACACAACGGATTATTGTGATCCTGGAATCTCATGTCAAAGTCAATGTACAGAACCGTTAATCCCACCGGGAAGGTGCGGATGGCAAGCTAATGGTACATCATGTTCTACCGGAGAGTGTTGTAGTAACGATGGTTTGTGTGGGACCACACCAAAATATTGTGATCCTCCAAACTGTCGAAGTCAATGTCAAACACCACCCGCATCACATTCAAGCTTATCTCCACTGTTGGTGGGTCTCTTCATATTTTTAATTGTTGTTGCTCTCGTTTTCTATCGTCGTTTTGCAAATTCTCCCATGTTTTCTAGTTAAAGTTTGATTTAATTTTGTTTATAGCATTGTGTTAATTTCATCTTCTATACTGTATTTTAATCTTGGTTTGTTTTATTTAGTCATTTTGTTGCTCTATTTTATTTAAATATATATGACTTCTCTTAATTTAATAATCACTTTTCTAGAATTTTGAATTAGTTATGTTGTTAGTTTGTCATATATATTTGGTTATTTTTATTATTTTGTTATGTTGATTGCTATTTACATGTTGCCTATTACTTTTTACTGCTTTTGTTAGTTTTATGTGATTTTGTGTAGAAAAAGTTAAAATTGGTTGATGAAAAACTACTGTTGATTTTCAAGGTCTCTCATGTTTATAAAATATATTTAATTTTTAAGTTATTATTTTTTTTCATTTATTTTGATTCATATTAATTCATTACTACACTTTTACTCATATTTGATTTTCATTAAGATACGTCTGAATTTGAATGCACATCTAAATGATTAAGATCTTGTCTCTAGATCTGAACACTGAGTTACTAAGATCATTTGTTTTTCAACATCTGAATGTACATAGTTTACTTATATCTACATATATATGATAAGTATATAGTTCAAATAATATTAATTAAACATTAAAGTTAATAAAATTTAATCATTGTTTGATGAAAAAAAGAAAAGAAACACTTATACTTGCTATTGATTGATGGTTAAGATAGTTTGTAGTCGTGGTGGTAATAGTAATAGTTGTTAGTGGCTAGTAATGATGGTGGCGGTAGTTGAGATGATGGAGATGATTGGTGTTGTAGTCGTTGTCATAATGGTAGTGATTGGTAGTGGTGTTGATGGTTGTAATGGTAAAGTTTGTTGATGTTAAAAGTTGGTGGTCTTGATAATGATGGCTGAAGAATGTGTTGTGGTTGATGATGTGTTTATAGTAATTGGCGTTGTGCTATTTATGATGATGGGGTGGTTTGCTAGTAAAGATTGACCACAGTGGTGTTAGTTGCTAATAGTAGTAGTGAAGATGGCAGTGTTGGTGGTGGTGATAGAAGAATGTATAGTGGTAGTTGATGGCGGTGATAGTTGTGATGGCGGAGTTTGTTGATAGTAGAATTGATTGTAGTGGAGGTAGTGGTTGATAGTGGTACTGAAATTAAAATGGTGACGGCTATAGAGATGAAGTTGGTGGTGGTAATGTATATAATTATATTGATAGAGGATGTACGTGTGGTAGCAAGTGACAGTTGTGATTAGCAATGGTGGTGATCGTAATGGAAAAAATGATTGATGGTTGACGACAGTAATTCTAGTGGTGGTGGTTATGACGGAAAAAGTGATTAGTGGTGATGGACGGTGATTGTGGATAGAGTGATGAAGGATATTAGCCACACAAGAATGCCTCTCAATGATATTAAGACTCTATTCTAGATCTTAATGATTAAGACCTATTTAGACCAATTAAGTGCTTAAATCTTAATGAAAACAAATGCATTTAATGACCAGTCTAATATTTGAATCATTCTTATTCAAACCTCCATTAAGTGCAAACAAATAAAGCTTAAGGGTGTGTTTGGTAGGAAAGAAAATGTTTTTCAATTTTCTCATGTTTGGTTGGGTTAAATGTTTTGGAAAATGTTTTCCAAATCAACTCATTTTTCTCAAATTTAAGGAAAATGACTTCCCTTCAAAACTCAAGGAAAACATTTTCCAAAACTCTCTTCCAAGTTCAAATTACAATTATTATTTTTTAACATCAATTTTTTTACCCCACCCTCACCCCTACCCCCAGCCCCCTACCACCACCACCCCCCCAAAAAAATAATATTAAAAGTTGTTTTTTAAAAGATATTTCTAAATTCAATTTTTTATTTTTTTTACCCCCCACCTCCTTCAAAAATAAAAAAATTAAGTTTGTTTTTTAAAAAAATATTTTCTACTTCAAATTTTTTATCTGTTCACCCCTACCCTCAATCCTCTCCCCCGCCAGCCACCCCCCACCCCCACCCAACCCCTAACCCCCCACCCCAAAAAAAATTTAAGTTTGCTTTTTAAAAATATTTTTAATTTCAAAAATTATTTTCTACTCTAGTAAAAATAAAATATATTTCTCAAAAATATTTTTCATTCATAAATCAAACACAAAATCTTTTCCGGAAAATATTTTGTACTCACCAACCAAACATGAGAAAATAAGTCAAAAATCTATTTGTTTTCTAGGAAAACATTTTCCTTCATACCAAACACACCCTAAGGGGTCGTTTGGTACAAAGATCAATAATGTAGGGATTGGTAATGCATGAAATAGTAATGCATGGATTATTTTTATCAAGTGTTTGGTTTATTGTTTCTTACCTAGTTTTGTGTGTGGATTAAAACTCTACAAAAAATTTCTTATTATACCCTTGAGTTATTATGGGATTTTCTATTTCATGTAATTGGGTCAAGGTAGATAATTGACTGACAATATTATTTTTTATAGCATTTTAACTAGCTAGGAGAATAAATTTTTTATTGTCATGTTCACTATTTTCTCACTTAAATTATTTGAGAGTAAATAATTGTCATCTTAATAAATTGGAGTTAATATCTCAAAAGGTCACACAACTATAATAATTTATAGAGAAAATTTATTGAACTTTGTTTTGTATCAATAAATTAAAAAAGAAACTCTTTATCATAAAATAAAATAAAAATAAAAAATAAATATAGCAAAATAAATTAAACTATTTTTATACTCGAGATGTTTTATATATATGCTCTTGTTTTAGATGGTCACACAACTATAATAATTTATAGAGAAAATTTATTGAACTTTGTTTTGTATCAATAAATTAAAAAAAAAAACTCTTTATCATAAAATAAAATAAAAATAAAAAATAAATATAGCAAAATAAATTAAACTATTTTTATACTCGAGATGTTTTATATATATGCTCTTGTTTTAGATTACTTGTGTAATGTTTAATGGACTTCCGTTAAGAGGCAATATTTGACTTATGAATTGTTCTTAAATCCGTACATCAACATAATTAGCATATTAGTCGGATTATAATATTTTACATTAATAATAAATAGATTAAATAACTCATATTTTAGAAACAAAAATTGTATCTAAATAATAAAATTTGTAAGCTAATTTATTTAAATAAATTTATTAGTATAAATATAAAACATAAAATCAAGAAAATAAACAAAATGATTAAAATAATTTGAGGGGGTATTTTTGTCTTAACCTTGATTAGTCCCATGGTATTAGAACTAATACCACCAAATGGAAGGTATTAGTTATACACCCTATCATACCATGTAGGGTGTATAACTAATCCATGGATTGATTATACATAGACCCAAAATTCCTACCAAACATAGTACTAAATAATACCACACATAATACTTGGACTATTTCTCCTAATACTCCCTACCAAACGACTCCTAAGTGTTTTATATAGGAACCTAGAGTTGTTTTCCAAGAAAGATATTCGAAAGACATTTGAATACTATTCTTTGACTCGTTATTATGTATATTATTGGCGTTAGGCAAATATTAGACCGTTTCTCATATTATTGCTTTATTTTATTCTTTGTATATATTTCATGTTTATACTTGTGCAATATTTTTTATCTCTTCCTCAATTGAAAAAATTAATTCAGTCGAGACACACAGTTATAAATTTTGAAAGGTGCTAATACCTTATTCCCTTTGAGATTACTTGAACCCTTATCTAGAATCTACTAATTTTGTAGACATTTTTGTTAAATAAGCGACTCCAAAAATTTTCCTTAAATTATTTATAAACTAATAAATTTTTTTATGAATTCCACGATATTGAGCCTTATTTGGAAAAATAAGGATGTCAACATCCACCTCCACCTCCACCTCCACCTCCACGCCCACCCCCACCCCCA